ATGGTTGCATTAGAGTTAGAGTTTAGTTTGAGATAAAGTGTGTACATGTAGCTGTATAACTTACGTTAAGGGTTACATTAATGAGGGAAGTTGAGGTTAAAGTAACTCCCCATTTATACTTACTAGGCTTCAATGCCCTCCCATATCCTTTCTTATAAGTCACACGCTTATCTGTCCCTACTGTGGAGTATTTGCTGTTTTAAGTCTTTGTCTCTGCCTGCTTGCCACTGCACAGCCTGTTGTTCAAAATCTTTACCGTCGGGTCATGCTCCTTCTACGCAGGTGTACCAGAATCTTCATTCATTCTGATGAAGAGCTCATACTCTTTGCATTCTGGCAGAGTACACACTTCCCATGAGAATGAATGGAGATTGCAGCACATGGGAGGAGCATGTCCTGACAGTGAGCCTTTTATTATTATTATTAATATTATAGGATTTATATCGATCCAACAGTTTGTGCTTTAAAACATGAGGAAGACATTAAAGATACAATACAATTCAAGACAAGATGGTTAGTAAAGGATTTGCACTTTAGAAAACAGGTTGAGGTTAGGGGAAGTAAATGATATAGTATTAGTTTTTAAGGTGTGGTAAAGGAGTCCCACAATACCTGAATTGATATAACCATCAGTGGCAAATATGTATGGGCAACAAAAATTCACAAAATGTACCAAAACATCCACGTCAGGTTTTAGAAGCTCAAAAACAATGTCATAATATAAGGTGTCTAATAACGGTATGTTTCAAGATGAGACATATTGCATTGGTCCTTTAAGAAGCCAGCTGCATTTTATAGGTCTGGAAATTATGAGTGTCATGTCCTTGTACTTTGGCCCAAGTTAATTCAATAAAATACTAAAGACGGAAGGTCAATATATCATTACTGGCACACTATTTGTAGTGGAGGTGATATTGTGTTCTGGAAGAATACCTTCATTGCCAACCTGCAATGTTATTGTTCCTTCTCTTACAATACACTAATTCCCCAGTGTACAAGTTATATGCGTTTTAGGTATCCCATATAGAGCTCCGTTAATCCCTTAAAAATATATTGGCAATTGGCCTTCATTGGGAGAATGAATCTTTTCAGTGATTGAAAGTTTGTCGTCTTCTAAGATGTTTCCAAGCAAGGTGAAGGGCAAGTTCAACCTTTGTTGCCTTACTTAATCGATAAATCCCAGCAGAAACACGGGCATATCATTGTTGTCTGAGGTACTGTGACGGTAATCAACACAACACTGCTCATCTCCCATCACAAAATGTGCAGCAATTCTGGGGGGTAATTCAATCAGTTCACTGTTTTCTGATCCTTGTCCACTGCTGTAATTCAGCATTTTATTTCTACTTGTATTAGACACTTGTCAATAGAAAGCCAGCAACGCTGTCACATGGCCTTTAATCAAAACTGCACAAAGCCGAAGGTAATAGAATTAGAAATAAATAAATATTTTCTTAACATTCCCCTCAATAAAAAAATGCTTTACAAAATTAAAACACAGTAATGGATGTTGTAATAGCTCCTGTATTTAGAGGAAATACATTTATATTGACTTGAATTTTTGCTGTCTTGCACAGATGGATCAGGGTTTCCAGAGTGTGCCATTTTTTAAAAATCAGATTCAGTTTATTGCAGGAAAATGCACAATATTGCCATTCTCCCCAAAATAAACAAACTTCAAAGTAACACAACAGAAAAAAAATTAATGAATAAGAAAATGTACAGTAACTAAATAAGAATAAGTACATAAAACAAGTGTAGTATATGTGACAATGGGATGTAGTCAGTATACAAAATATAAGGTTTTGTAGTAGAGTACAAATTTAAAAAGAATGTAGTATAGCCACTGCGACAGGCCATTAGGCATTGGAGGTAACATTCTATCATGCCTACAGCTCTATATCATCAGGTTTTACATGCTGAGCTTGGACAATTACACCTTAAAGCACAGCATTAGAGCGATTTATAACAGTCACTGTCAGTGTATATCAGGTCCTTTGCAGAAGGTATATTTTCAGCATTGTGATCTCTGATAAACTTAAATAAAGAATGTAATATCAGATTCTCCTACAAGGCTTTTACTTTTGTAGGTATTTATATAGCACAGACAATTTACATATCATACATACACATCAGTCCCTGCCCTCAAGGAACTTACAATCTAAGTTCCCTATCTCTAATGCATACATACTGTACAAGGGCTAGTTAACGTACCGCTATGTCTTTAAAGTGTAGGAGAAAACCAGAGTACCTGGAAAACATACAAACTCCACACAGGTAGTGTGCTGTTTGGGTTTTGAACCAAGGACAATAGTGCTGCATGGCAAGAGTGCTTGCCACTGGTCCACTGTGCTGTGTTTTCTGAAGTTAGGAGACTCAAGCGGGATAGATTTTTGGGAAGGGTAGGGGGTCCGGGAGTATATAACCATCTCCAGAAAAAGGGAGAGAGGTAGTATAAGAGAAGTTGAGTTATGTAGTACCACATGCTATCAGAGAGTTAGAGGGACAAATGTTTGCTAACAGAGGAATCAATCAGATACAAACAGTTCATTAAAAATTAACTGCGTTGAAAGTTATCGAGGCAAGATCAGGAATACCTAACCAAGGTTACCACAGTTTTTTACATCTCTTGATATTTCCCCTATGTTGGTGGACTGACTTTTCTGCAGTGCAAATCTTTGAAGCGAACTTGTAAAAAACCTAAGCGTGGGATGAAAAATGAATAAGCACTGGCTACTTTTAGTGAAAACCGCAAATAAAAAAAAATAACCCCCCCCACACACGCACACCTTCCAAGCTTCTCCTTATTCATTAATCCTTTAATTCAGTAGATGGCAACCTCTGTGCTGCAAGATATGTATGCATCATGTCAAGACAGGAGATGTGTCAGATAAGGCAGCAGCTCCACTTAGGTAGAGTCCCTTTACCATGAACAGTGTATCTATTTGAAATTCGCCCTGCTGGTGGCCCCCTGCTTAACTGACCTAAATGATCAGATCGCAGCCACATATGCAGCATTGGAAACATCTCAGAAGAGTGGGAATCTTTTAAAAAGATTTTTAATCAGCCAAGGATGGAATGCGACAGGTGCCCCAAGCAAGGGCAGGTTGTGCATATTTGACAGAACACTTCAGCTCTAGGGGTATGTGTTCAGATTTGATACCCCCCTTTGTTGGGGATTTTAATTTTTATTATTTTTGTACTGTTTTGAAAAACTTTACTTTGTAAAAGATTGACACCTTACACAGACAGCAAAGAAGATCATGAAACCTAAATCCAATTTGGGAGCAAAGTCTCAGAAAATAGTGTCTGGAGTCCTCAAGTTGCAACAAGTGCTTATAATGCTATAGGTGACACACATTTTAAATTTCATTGTGGTGTACGGTGAGAACCACTGCTTTAATGTAATGGGCAGCCTATATGACCAACAAGGAGGCTCAGGAAACAAGAGGGGTTGGACCATGCTTATATTTTTATATTTATACAAATCTAGCTCTTTTATGACTATGCAGCTCTGTGCATCTACTCATCATCTTGGCTAGCAGTTTTTATTAGGTGTTAGCTCAGCTCATGCATTTTTTTGATATTGAACTGCCCAGATTTGTGACAGATTCATGTATGTATGTATGGCCAATCCTTCCAATGACTCGATCTATTCATGTGTTCCAAAGGAACTTTACCAACCAATTTAATGTCTCCCAAAACAGTTGCTTAAATGCATGCCAATTGTCAAGGTTGTCAGTGTGTTTATTTCAGCTCTCAACCAAACTTTCAATCTGGTGAGATAGCTGATCACATGTGCAGCACCATGGCAACTGCAATCCAAGATGGCACCTTCCTTGGCTGTAAGGGAAAGAAGGTTGTAGTTCCACTTTAAATGACTTTTTGCTCTCAACAAAAAGTAGGGAGCCCTTTGTGGAGGTGATATACTAGTATCAGTGTCCTTGTACACATGTGCATCACCATGACTAATGCAATTCAAGATGGCACCTTCCTTGGCTGTAAAGGATAGAAGGTTGTAGTTCCTCTTTAAAGGACTTTTTGCTCTCAACAAGAAGTAGGGAGTCCTTTGTGGAGGTGATGTACTAGTATCAGTGTGTATCAGTGTGGAGGTGATGTACTAGTATCAGTATACGAATGGAGTGGACAACCCCCGGCGATCAGCTTTTAACAGGCTGCGTTATAACGGAATAGAGTATCTTTCCAAGTTGTAAAGATTTTGGACTTAAATTAAACTTAAATTCTTAAAAGTGAAATTCCCCTTCAAGAAATTTCTGGGGAAGCCAGTTTATAAAAATCACTTATCAGTAATTTTTATAAATGTAAGCAAAACAAAAAAGCAAATATATGACTGAAATAATAATAAATGAATCTCTGTGAAAATGGTTATAATAAATACATAAATGTACAGTAAAAAAAGCTTTATAAATAACTTCACATTATTAGCAATGTGTCATCTGCATTCTACAAATAAATACAAGTAAAATACACAATTTGAATATGCTTAGCATATAGACGTAGTAGCATGTTATTGGCATTCGTTACATTTATCTACAGCTTTACAAATGAAACACATGTCAGTAACATAATTTTAGCTTTGCTGGTCTCTCTTTTTCTGTACTAAAAATGATTATATGATTAAACAGAGAACTATTTCAGCTGCATGATTTGTCAGTTCTTACCCGGAAAAATGTATTGTTTGATGACATTATTAGTACTCCTTGTTTTTATCAATGTTTGAGACTGTTGTGAGCACAGTGCCCTCTGCCTGTAAAATAACAGTTAGCAGCCCACAATCTGCCAGCCAGCGATAACACGTGCATGTAGGCAGCAGATGGCATGTTTTGCTTATGTGAAGTAATCTCTAGCTGTAGAATGCAGCATATAAAGCTGTATGCATGTGTGGCTTGCTGTCTACCCATCATCTACAGAATGCTCACATCCAGCTCCCCTTATAAGACTGTCAGTGGTGAGATTATGCTGCCTTCTTTGTAGCTTACCTCCCAGCTGCCTTCACAGGACTGCTTCTTTAAACGTACAGTCCAGTTCTCAGGGCTGGGCTCCAGGCAGTGGTCCATTGAAATGATGGCAGGTTGGGTAAGCACTACTCCAGGGGGCCCACAGCTGACGATAGGACCCAGAAGTGTTTGGCAGCCAGCTAGGGGTAACCTCAAGATTAGAAAGGAAAGGTAGAATATGTGAGATACATGTACATAGAGATGCATAAACTAGTAAAATCTATCATGCACTTCAGGGATAATAATGAACAATATAATATCTTCACGCAGTGGTGTTACTAGCACGGGTACAGTGGATGATACAATTCTTGGGTTTATGAGAGAAGATGGAGCAATCCACAGAACACTGTCATGGACACAGCATTTTGACATCATCACACTACATTCACAATTATGACATTTTACATTCAGGTCACACAGATCTATGTTTTCATCTGGCAAGGGCAAAGCTTAAGCCAAAGCAGTCCATACAACAGCTATGGGGTGTAAAAGACTAAGAACAAGGAACCCAGTATTATCTGCATGATTCATTTATCTGAACAGTAAATGCATTTGGTAAATAGGTTTGTATAAATTAATCTATCTAAAGTTCAGATACCTATTGCACGGAAGTGCTTGGCATACTGCAGGGTGAGCTGAAAGACCAAGGCTGGTGTCAGCAGCACAACTGTCTTTTAGATGGAGTTTGGAAAGCCATTTTACTATGAGGCCCTGTCATATGCACACCTGCACTCTTTTCCTCATATATATATACAGTATATCCCTAACGCTAGCAATAAATCAATATTCATGTAGACTAATTCTGTTACCCTCAGACATTAAAACAAATTAATATGGATTAGCTTATTTTAGGTGTGATACATTCTTAGTCTATAATAAAAGGTTGTCAGTCATCTCCACCCAGCACCTTAAAAAAAAACAACTCCACTTACCACTACTTACTTTTAAAATTGCCATGTAATAATGCATTTTAGGCTTTTAACCTGTTCTGTAGAAAACACCTACCATACATGTGGTCCCCTGACTTCAGTCATGTATGAATGGCAAAAGCTAATCCAAGGATGCAATAAATGCTTGTGCGCTATATGAAATACTATGACATTGGCACTTGTTTGACCTGCACTGAGGTCATGCTTTCAGGTCAGTAAATCTTTCTAATTAATTATATATCCTCCGTACAATAATAGGGTTAACACTATGGGGTTGGCTAGGAAGCAGGGCAGATTAGAGTTGCTGCACTAGAAGACCTGACCTCTGCTAGCACTTGGGATTCTGTATTTCATGCAACACCTGCTCTGTGCTCTAACCTGACCCTAAGCTGTGTGGGGTGCGTTGAATGGAAATATTATCAAATTTGTGGGGATGTTGTTGGCATCATGATTGCTTTTACAGTAAAACAATACATAATTGTCAAAAATTTCTATTTGCACAATTTTACTATATCCTTATAAGTAACCTGTCAAGCAAAAACAATATCTGACTAATACATGTTTTCCGTTCTGAGCAAATCTAAGTTGGTGCATTCTAGGAGCTCAAACCCCTGGGTGTACTTGGCAAGCAGCACTCAACCGAAGTTCAAAGCTGAATCTCCAGAACTCCCCCCTACTTCCAGTTTATGCCCTCTGAGATACCCACATTCATAGGCGTGGGGGTGTACTGGGCGTGTCTGGGCACACCCTAATCACCCCGAGCACCACCGAAACCGCAACAGCGGGCGCCGTGTTTTTAGTCATTGAACCGTTAGAGAGATCACAAAAAATCTCCCTGTCACCCGCTCAGCGATACAGAGCGCAGCAGCACGTTCCACTTACATTCCTCACATAACAGCCGCAGTCCTCGGTGCCTGGGAAGCTGTGAGGGAGCGTGGCTGCAGCTGCCCATCCAATCAGGAATCTGGGCTAGTGGTCACATGACCACCTGCCAGGCTCCCTACTTCATTACTGCACCCCTGCTGGAAGAGGTATGGGACAGTTTAAGAGATGGGAATCTGGTAAGCCTCCGGTATATATATCTATCTATA